CGCAGCTCGGGGCCCGCGGCCGTCCCGGCTGCCATGAGTTGTGCGGAGGTGATGCATCACCCCCAGCCGTATGGAGTGTCCCAGTACCTGGCCAACCCCGTGGCAGCTGCAACCTGCCCCACAGCCTACTACCATCCGGTGCCCCAACCTGGCCAGCAGGTGAGTCACCGGCCGGGCAGCCTGCCGGGGGCGGGGGCCGGGGGCACCCAGAGTATCGGTCTGCGGCTCCCGCGGTGCCCAGCCGGAAGGGTGGCTGCGAAGATGCGCTGAGACTGCGGGCAGGCGGCGGACCCGGTGGGAGAGGCTCAGCGGCCCGACTGGCTGGGTGGGGATTCCTCGGGAGGGAGTACCTGACTGAGGGCTTCAGGGACCTGCTGTCCCAGAAGCCAGAGGTCGGTCCTCCTGGCCACCTAGCTTTAGGGCTCAGTTGTCTGAAGGTCACCAAGGGCACCTGTCTTAGGACTATGTGAGTAAACGACCTTTCAACCAATTACTTTGTTTCCTGGGGAAAGGTAGCGTGTTCACGGGTTTCGTGAGAAAGGCAAGGAAGTGTGTATGCCTCAGGATGAGCGGCGACTTGGGTAATGATCTTAAGAAAACCTTTCTGGGACATGATGTGACTAGAACTTCCCCCAAAGTCCGATTCCCCCTAGAGTGGGATTTTAGCGGGCTGACATGGATCCTACAGTTCGTCAGCCATCTAATTCCATCATCAGTTTTTTTAGAGTAAATGATCAGTTTGTTGAAAGTGTGTCTGCCACCACCACCCTCCTCCGCGCCCCCTCTCCCCAGCAAAGAGGCAATCTTTGGAAAGTGTGGAAGCCAAGTCATTTACATGTCAAGAGTCCATGAGAATGTTGGGGGGAGAAGGGAAGCAGAAATGGGGGTGATCATGTTATTTAGATCATATAGTTAGTTTAGAAGAGTGAGTAGAGTTTTGGGGGATTTGTCATTGGATGTCCTCGGTACCCCTTATCCACAAGGGAAGGATGTCCAGGCTAAATAGGTCTTCATAAATCACAGATGTGCATATGTGGCAAGGGCCTGTTCCAGAAGGGGGTCCACAGGCTCTGCCAAGCATCGTGGATTGATTTGGACTTCACAACCACAGTTTATACGCTCTGAAATGGAGACTCGTTTATAGGAACTGGGTAAAGTTAAGAAATTAGCATCCACAGAAATGAATGACTTACCTATTTTTTAGTTAGGAATGGTCAGCTTTATTGTGATTTTTATGGGTTTGGCCCTTTAATTTATCTGAACTTGTAATTCCTATATTTCTTCTACCTCTTTCAATGGGCTAGGTTTACAACCCTACTCTTTGAAAATGACTCTCAAGGTTTGTTTACAATTTAGAGGCTGCGAAATTCAGCTGATTCTGCAAGGGTACATGCCCCAGAGATTGATCAGGGCTAGTTAGGTAAAAAGAGGAAGGAGTTCCTCTCTCTCACTATGACTTCTTATTTATCTGCATATAATCTCCAGCAACTTCTGCATTTCAACGTAAAATCACGTTTGGGGAGGGTGAAGAAGAGAAGCATTAAAAAAAAAAAAAGATTTATAGGCAGGAATCCAGACTAACACGTTGGTGATGTTCTCTGCTTTTCTTGGACTTCAAATTTAAAAGACTTAAAAACAATGGTGAAAGTCATCTAGGTACAAGACACGGAAGTGAGACAAATTGATCCGGGGTATCAGTTCTGTGGGTTTTCTAAATGCTGCATCTGAGATGAACCACTCCTTTCTCCCTTTTCTCTGTGCCAGAGACTATGCAGAAGCACCAGATGTTGCCCTTTGGTAGATTCTCAATCATAGGACAGAGTACAGCTATGCCACAGCATTTCCAAGGCTTTAATAGAACCTTGACAGAAGCAGACTGCCACATCTTCTTTCCGCAGAGCAGTCGTGGGCCTTTTGGTTAACATTTGAACACTTCACCACTGTGTTAACAAAGGCTCCTTCAGAAACTGTAGAAGCCTTCAATTATCTGCTGGAATGTGGACAAGCAGCGCTCCAACCTTACAAAACCACTCAGAAAAGTCCTTCTTTTTGCTTTAGAGATAACTTGAACTAGTGTCAAGAGCTGGGTTATTTTCTGAGCGGCATATACTTCCATTAAAATGTGAGTCTGTGATGAGGTATTCGTGTGATACTTCGTGAACTAGAAAATAAAATTCAGAAAAAATTTAAATGAGCAACCATTAACTTCAGTTCTCAATAAGACAGCACCCCAATCCTTTATCAAACTGTTGCCAAAGTCTTAAAATCTGGTTCCTAAATTGCATTCTTTTATTAGAATAACCAAAAAGCTGAAAAATGAATTTTTGAAAAAAATCAACTTTAAAAAAATGAACTAAAAAAAAAAAAACCCTTAAGAAAAGTAACCTGAATTGTCCACAAGGATATTAGCTTTAATCAACTTCTGCTCCCCTGTGGGCTTCTGTAGATCTCATGCAAGAAGTAGTTGCTAGGTTGAGTGGACCACAAGAAATTAGTTGAGAAGTTTGTTTGGAAATTTTCATGTTGCTTATACTAAAATGGCTTATCTGATATTATTCTCTGTCTCTGTCTCTTTGTCTCTCTGTCTCTGTCTCTCTCTCTCTCTCTCTCTCTCTCTCTCTCTCTCTCTCTGTGTGTGTGTGTTTAGGAAAGAAACTATATCTGGCTATCAAAATGATAAAAAACTTCATCGTGTAACTACTGTTCTTTTACTGTCAAGAGTTTATTTGATGACCTATATTTTCTATTGGAAAAGAGTAAATCAGGAAATTCTTATCAGGCTGACAGCATTTTTAGACTAATGCAATGCGTGGGTGAAGTAGGACTAATATTCACTTGGCCCTAATGCAGTCATTTGAGAATACATATTTTGGTTGTTGTTGCATTCCACAAGGTTTTATCATTATTATCCATAAAGATTGTTTTCTCCGTACATGGGAAGTAACCCCTAATAGCAGTGTGCCTGAGAGAAAGGGAAAAAAACAGCCAAGAGTTATAACTGTTGTTGCATTTGAAAATTTGTTTGTGTGTGGCAGAAGGGGCAAGGAAAGAAGCAAAAAGTGACAGCGTTTTCAACACAGTTTAGTAGGCATTTATAAAATGCTACAAGAAATGAATATTAAAGTTTTGGGTAACTCCTATATTCAATTTTAGCATTTTGTCTTTCAGCTGATTGCTTCCCCCACCTTGTATAGTCCTGAAGCACTTATGAATTAGTCTATCCTAATTGTGCATTATGATGGATTTCCAATATAAATCTGTTTTGCTCTTTATACTGTCATATAGTTTGCAATTTTTTTCTGAAAAAATGGAAACTCCATCCATACTCTCAACTTTTTCCCTAAACGCCCACATGTACATGGGACATTTTTGGTTTAGTTTTCCATTGAAACAGATGCAAGATGGGTATAAGGTGAAGTGCCTTAAAAGCACAGTAAATTGCATAGGTATCAGTTTGCCTTAGGGATGTGTCATTTATGCATACAGGAGGCTACCTGAGTCCAGGGAATCTGTGAATGTGTCAGGTAAATATTTTAGTCTCTGTTGTTAATTATGGTACTAGAAATTGTACAGCAGTGCATAAATCTCACAAGGTGTTTCAGAGAGCATGGTCTTAAGATTCTGAAGGGGTGCTTAGCTCCTTGTTCCAAGTGTCCACCATATCTTTATAGTTTTAATATCCCAGGCAGCAGCATCTCCTTCAAAACTCGACTAAGATCCCACCACTGCCATCCCTGACAGGCTCTCGCTCTCGCTCTTGCTCTCTCTCTCTCTTTCTCTCACTCTCAGTGTGCAATGGCAGTGGAGAATGTCTGCAGAAAGGAATGCACTTATATTCTAGGAGAATGTAGAAACCAACAGAACATTTTAAAATATGTGTCAGGAGCAATTTAGGAACTAAAACAAACTCATGGATTCTCTGTTTGTATCCAGCAGATTCTAATTTTAAAAATATTCTGTTGTGCAAATTGCCCCCATGTTCATAATGATACCGTGAGGCAGACACAGCGAAGCTTTCACACTTGTATGGTTTATAAATGAGACAGTGAAAGCAAAACACTGTAGCCAATTTTCTAAGTGTGCATAGGTGATATCAACAGCAGACAAGCTAAAACTTTCACTCTCTTTGCTCTCTTCAAGGGTGGCAGCGGGGAGATTCTACATGCATGCTTACACTTAACGTCATTAAAGCCCCATTGGAAGGCAGTTTTCCAGTTATACATTTGTGAAGAAGTTTTGTTTCAAACTCTTTCTCTGGTCTCTGCCCCATGGGTTAGGTCATAAAACTGCTTAGAGATTCTGTTTGTCAGGCCAAATCCCTGAGAAGACATATTTTAACCCTTCCTTATGCATATGAGGGGAAAAAAATGGATGTTCTGAAAAGTGTGGCTACAGATGCCAAAGTAAATTGGTGCCCATATCGGGATCACAGGTCTCTGGGTCCCCAGGGTAGCATCTTTCCACCATGCCAAAGAGTCTCCTAAGCTTTTCTCTGATATTGCACAATAGCTTATTTTTTACTTTAATGTTTCAAATCAACTTCTTTGATAAAGAAGATTAATGTGCAGTAGATGCTTTGGCCTTGAAACTTGAAATTCTTTCCAAGTCCTTGGTTGTGTACTTTTTTAAGTTTAGGCATTCCAAAGGCCTTCTGCAAGCATTTACATTATGCTAATGACTTTTGCTATCCATGTTGCATCCTTTGTTGATGAGGCAGAATATCCATTTAGCAAATGCTCATCTATTATTTTTAAAATAAAATACAGGAAGTAGTTTTAGCAGTCAGCTTTCAGTGCCTCATATATCATTGGGACTCCAACATATGTTTAGATTGATTAAGAGAAAAGCATACAATATTATCCTAAATAGTTTGAATAGACCGTCAAATTAATTAAGACAGAGGATTTAATATTCTTGCAACTGTAAGCAAAGACTTAAGTGGATTTATAAGAATTCATACGGGACTTCTTTGAGAAAAAGCAGCTCCTATAATTCTTCACTACACAAATTAACTTGACGGAAAGGACTTAGAAGCGAAATGTGCCCCTGGAGTTTCATGCTTCCAGACCGAACATTCTAAGATCGAGGGAAAAGAAGTCTTAAAATTCCCCAACTAAACTGTTGTCTCTGCTTGTCCATCAGAATGGAGATGATAATAC